TAGACTTTTTTTATTTATATATTTATAATATTTATATATATATATATATATGTACTATTATTACAATGATAACGGTACACAATCTCGAAGATACAAAATTTACATTTTTCGCGAATTTTATTTACCCTATTTTATTATTATTTTATTATTTGTTTACTTATTTATTCTTTTTTTTTCTTTTTTTTTTCTTTTTTTTGTATTTTCGCTCTCGCACATTTCTGCCTCCTAGTGCTCCGTCTCTCGTGTCCACAGTCCCATTTCCCATTTCTCCCCCCTCCCCCCCTGTATACAATTTTCTTTTCCTCTTTTTTTTGTTTTTTTTTTTTTTTGGGTTCTTTCCTTTCCTTGGAAACGGTTATGGTTCTTTTTTTTTCCTTTTTTTTTTTTTTTTTTTATTATCTAAATTCCGAATCTCGGGACTTTCTCGACTCCGCGATCTGGATCACTGGATCAAAAATCCATATAATTTACCGACTTTTTTTTTTTTTTTCTACGTGTGCTTTATACACCTAACGTTGCTGCTCGCTATCGCTAAACACGACACACGACGCGATGGCTCGAACGACTGGACGCCGATTCTCGTGCGCGGGGAATAAAATAGATCGAGCATTGTATGGGATGACACCAAAATTCACCGTAACCGTATTCCCGTTGGAACCGAGCAGAAAATATTCCTTCGATCGATTGTTCGACTTTTTTTCTCTCCTCGCGTCGAACGCGATTGAAAGCTTCCGTCATTTAACGGCGTTCCACCTAGCTAGATTAACCATGGACGAGTATATAGCGCTACAATCGCGTTCCAAAGGGGAGGGGGAAAAACTGATCACGCCTCGTCGTAGAAAATATGCTTTCGATCGATCGTTTTAATCTTTCTCCTCGTCGAACGCGATTGTCGAGATTGGTTCCGTTTAACGACATTGATTTCATCGTTGTAAACTATCGACGAATAGATCGCGTTCCACGAGGAAGAATCACCGTTGGAAACGTTGGTATTTACGTATAAAATAAGTCCTTTAGTTCGCTACTGAATTTCGTCGGCGAGCAGATGGCGCCACCGCGTCGCGTTCCACGGAGAAGCGGACCGCCATGTTTCCTTCTTCGAATAACGTTCGTGCAAAATATATATTCGATACATTAATTTGTTCCTCGTGGAACAATGGAGAACGAAAGGAGAAGAATTTAGGAAAGGGACGAAATGATGAATGAAAATCGGCGTCCAATGGCCCTCCCCTCACGCGGCGAATTCTTCGCGTTTTAATAAAAAGACTTTTTAAAATTGCACGATGTTTCGCACGATGTTGAATGATATACACGCTTACAAACTAGGTAATACACCTCGGCCTCCGAAGACCGATTCCGGTTCCCAAGGGTTTCATACCCTTTTCGAACAGAATTGAACACGTGTATATATATATATATATACATATATATCCTCGAATAAATAATTTTAATCCCCGCTCGTTCGTCAGCCGTCGGTAAAAGAATCGTCTTCGAAGGGACGATCCACGATAAAGGGAAGAGGGAAGGGGAAGGAGGGGGGGGAGGGCAGGTTATAACGTTAATAACCTCCCGTTATTTTTTTTTCTTTTTTTTCTTCTTTTATTTCACGCTTTTATGCACTCACGTTAATAGAAACTCTTGCGATTTTATAGAGATGTATGTATATATATATATATATATATATATATATATAATTGTTCGTCTATTTACAGGAGCACGTCTAATTAGACACGATACGAGTTATTTAGCTTGACTTCGTTTGTACTTGGGGCCTGGGCTCGACTGCCCTTACCTTGTGCGAAACTTTACATATTTACATTCGAGATCGCGAAACGAAAAAGGGTACGGATTCGAAAGAAAGAAAGAAACGAAAGAGAGAGAGAGAGGAGAGAGAGAGAAAGAAAAAAATAGGGGGAAACATGCGTTTTCGCGACTCGTCCGATTTTTTCACGTATTCCTTCGTTTCTTTTTTCCGCGCCTCTCGAACGTCTCTCGGTATAATTCGCGGAGAGAGAAAGAGAGGAGAGCTCGGGTCTCGCGATCTACGTTAGAACGAGAGTGGTGGGCTGCGTCCTGAGCTGTTGATCGTTCACGATTCATGTGTACTCCGATCGCCAACCGGTCTGAAAACAGTCAAACAAGAACAACCATGGTGGTTTCTCTCCTCTCAGAACCACTCCCCTTTCCGCGAGGGGGTGAGTCGACGATCAATTAAACTCAGATCAAATTATTAAATTCATCAAATTTACATACGTTCTAAATATATCCTTCTTTGCAAAACTTTTGTCGTGCAATTTATCATCGTCCTAACTTTATAAAAAAAAAAAAAAAACTTTAAACCCCCTGAAGAAATCCACATTGGGATCTAAAAATCATCCCTCGATACGAACATGTAACAATCCCTAAAACAAACCGACTCACCCTTATCACCCCTCGCGGGATAATTTCATTCAAGTTTCAATAATTTAGGTATGAGAGGGTTGCTTAAATCACTGGACTCACCATCGCGTTCGTCGTGGCTGCCAACTGGAGACCCTGAAGACTCGTCATGTGATGGGAATGGGAGTGCGAGTGCGAGTGGGGGTGGATTGGTGGCGGCGCAGGGGGCGCGAATCCCTGGTGAAGCCCACCCGCTACCCCCACCCCCGTGTGATACATGTAGTGCTGCATCGCTGGATGCATCGTGTGATGATGCTGCGACGTACCTGTAATCACCATTACAATTATCATTACTCATTCTTCTTATTTTTCTCCCCAATGTATCTTTTCGTTTTTTAAAATAAATTTCTCTTCTTTCTTCGTAATTGATAAATTGGAAAGGACGTCGAAAATTCGTATCGCGTAATTAATTATGCATTCGTAAATAGTTGGAGTCAATTATTAATGGAGCTATAATGAAGGGACAATGAATCGTATAAAAGCAAAAATCGACTCGATTCTTTAAAAAAACTCGGCGTCAATTGGAATCACCCTTAAAATTATCATTTTTCTTATTTTTCTCCCCAATGTATCTTTTCGTTGTTTAAAATAAATTTCTCTTCTTTCTTCGTAATTGATAAATTGGAAAGGACGTCGAAAATTCGTATCGCGTAATTAATTATGCATTCGTAAATCGTTGGAGTCAATTATTCATGGAGCTATAATGGCCAATGAATCGGATAAAAGCACAAACCGACTCGATTCTTTAAAAAAACTCGGCGTCAATTGGAATCACCCTTAAAATTATCATTTTTCTTATTTTTCTCCCCAATGTATCTTTTCGTTGTTTAAAATAAATTTCTCTTCTTTCTTCGTAATTGATAAATTGGAAAGGACGTCGAAAATTCGTATCGCGTAATTAATTATGCATTCGTAAATAGTTGGAGTCAATTATTAATGGAGCTATAATGGAGGGACAATGAATCGTATAAAAGGAAAAATCGACTCGATTCTTTAAAAAAACTCGGCATCAATTCGAAAATTGCAAAAGAACACGTTATCGTTGAAAAATTATCAAAGTCGAATAATTATTTCCGATTCTTTGTTCAGCGACAACAACACTGTATCGATGTAACCGATTACATCGTAATCAAAGTCGTACGACAGAGACAGATATATTGGCGATAAAAATACACGAATTGGAGCGCTTGGAAAAAAATTTCGGGACTTACTCATGGGTGAACCGAAGCCTGAGTGGAAGGGTTTGTTGTCGAGGTCGAGGTGGCCGCTGGCTTTGATCATATCACCCATCACGCCACCAAGCCCCAGACAACCGCCAGCCTTCTTCTTCTTGCTCTTCGACGACAGTTTCCTGTTCCTCGTCTGGATGCCCTCCTTCTTCATCGTGAGCGGCCGGTTCACCTGCAAGAGTCGTAGCCAACAATTCGTTGAGTCGATCGGTTTTAATCTAAACGTGGCTTCCGGATTCGGAGAGGAACGCCTCTGCCGTGCGAATGACGTACTAAACCCGGGGAGGGGGCGAGAAAAGGGGATCGCCGGGTTAATCACCGCGTTTCAACGCGTAATTAAGCGATTCTTAAGTCCGCGCATACATTCTCGTGTTAATTCTCGTGCAAACACTATCCAGCCAAGGTGGAAAAATCACGTAACGCGTTGAAAGAAGGAACGTGTTGGGAGGGAAAGAGGGAGGGGGAGGAGAGTTTTTCTCCCATGACCGGTAATTTTCGTCTAGACGCGGTGTTTCCCATTTCTTTATCGAGACGCTTTATCGTAGCTTTTATAACAGTCGAATAAGTGTAGCGACTCCCCCCAACCTCCTCTCTCCCTCCTGTGCAATTACGCAAAAATGTGTTTTTCCTTGGGTAAAAGATTCAGTTAGTCGATTATATTATTACATGTTTTTCAACTGAGGGAGAGACAGAGAGAGAGAGAGAGAGA